ATACAAACAAAAAATCTAAATGTCCCAAATTTAACAGCTTGTGTTTAATTGACATTGAGATGTTTTTAGGTTGAAATAAAACATGTAAATTTACTTTTTATTTAGTTTTTTTCTAACAATGTTTAATGATGGCAATAAATCTCATACTGTCAGAGAACCTGTTTGTCCCACTTGCTGCCCAATATTCACAAAGAACAAAGCATGTGTGGGTATTGCCAACCCATCCATCTTTCGCTTGCTGGATTTTATTGACGTCTACAAAAAAAAAAAAAAAGCAATTTTGGTAATTCATCAACTTATTAATGGGGCCTGAAGAAGAGTGTGGGAGGTTTGCACACAACCGCAACAACCGGGTGGCTCTTCCTTTATTCTGGTCACAGGCTCGTAACAGACTGCAGAGGAATCCCGTTTTCAACCAGCACTTAGAGCGATTCAGTCGTCGTGGTCGCGTTGTTTAGTCTGTCGCAAAAGCACGTCCATGCCAATTTCACAAACGCTCGGTGGGCGGCTCCATCTTCTCCACTGGCAAACTCCAGAGGTAAACTCCGCTCTCTTTGGTCATTAAGAGAAGAACTGGGTCTCACGACGTCTCCGCCAAAGGCTCTTGGCACTGGCAAAAGAGGAATTAGGAAGTTTTTCCTCCGTTACTCAACCCCCAGAGACATTTTATTACAAATGTGGCACCGTTTAAGCAGAAATAAACAGGCGTTCCGATGGTTTGACATTTACTGCCAAGAAACATGATGGCAACAAACATACAAATGTTATTGCTGTTGGGGATGAATCTATAAAAGTATATTCTGAGAATATACTGAGCTCTAGACGTTTGTAGTTGCTCAACATCCACACACATTTCAAACAGCTCTTCTCATACTGAGCCCTTCAGCAAGTTTGTGTAGTATTAGTTTTATTTTTTATATAATAGCAAACAAAGGAGCCACAGTCTGACACGAGTTTTATTCGTTGAATATATTATTTTATTTTAACATCATCGTCATCATAGTTTAACTTTTAATTTTCCCTTCATTCGTTTAAAATGATCACCTCTGAATGTACACATACTGCAAACTGTCAAAAATATACAAACAAATGCAGGCTTGTGCTATAGTCTGGTCAAATGTTTTAAAAAACAGTGGCACTGGAAGGAGAGACAGAGACAGAGAGAGAGGAAGAGACCGAAGGCAGGAGAGACGTAGAGAAAGAGAGAAGAAAGAGACACTGAAACCGGTAAAGACATGCACAGCATCGTTAGGAGCACCGGCAGCGGTGACCCGGGCGCGCGGCACTTCCACGGGATCCTCGTGGAAAAGTACGTACATTTCATCGTCTGACAGTGGGCCGCAAAATGCCCGCCACACATTGGATCAAAAACAAAATGCTGCTTGTTAATGGAACTCTTAGGCACATCATTGTTTTGTTTTTTGTTGTTTTTTTTTTTTGCAGATTTTTTAAATATTTTCTGGAAAAAGTTCTGTAAATGTAGAATGCTTCAACAAAAAGAAAAATAAGGGAAAGAAAAACATACAGTTAAAAAAAAACAGCTTTCAAAAGTCATTTTGGAATCACTTTTGTTAGTAACTGAACACCGTTACATAATTTGCGTGTGAATGCATATGTAGTTAATGTGTGTGTGAAGGTTTTTTATATGTGAGCACATGAACACAAGTTGGTGTTTTCCTGTAGAACCGATAATGGAGGCGAGTACTTGAGGTGTTGTGTGGGTGGTATCTATGATTGGCTGACAGCTGACCAATCAGATGCTCAGGTCTTTGGGATTATCCTTGTAGGTCTTCTTAGGCTCAGGGATCACGGGCTTGGGTGGAGGACTGCTGTTGGTCTTGAGCGTGCTGTAGTACTCTCTCAACTTAGAGGCAACAAAATAGTCGTCATCTTCTTCATCTTCAGAGTCATCCCTCCTGGGTGGGGAGATGGCACGTTCCAGGCTGCGAGCTCTGTACCGCGGTTCAGGGGTGACACCTCTACTGGCAAAGCGCCCATCCCTCTCCAGCATCTCAGGTGTACGCCCTCTAAACAGGGAAGTGTACTTCTGGTAGGATGAATCCAAGTCGGGGGTTCGGACTCTGGGCAGGGTGATTTCTCTGGAGTCACGGGATGCAAAGTCCTTCAGCAGTCTGTCTCCCCTGTAGGCCCTCTCTATGGAGGAGGTTCTCATCAGAGGGCTGTCCTGTCTGTAGAGACGATCTTCTCTCCGAAGTGGTGGGAGTGAAAGAGCGGGCTCTCTGTTCAGGCGGTCTAGAGCTGGCGACTCCCGCAGGACGGAGTCTTCAAAAGGGAATCTTGGAATATCAGACATTGCAGCTTCATCTGCCATCGGCTTCTCATTGTGTCTCTCAGGGGTGTCATAACGGTAGGGGTCTGAGGAGCGGTGGCGATGTCTGGATGGCGAGCGGTACCTGGGTGGGGACCTGTGGCGGTAAGGTGAGCGTCGTGGAGATTGGTGGTGAGAGCGGTGATTAGAACGGTACGGCGAGCGTCGAGGAGAGTGGTGGCGGTGGTTTGATGAAGACTGTTGACCGCGACGGCGTTCTGGAGAGCGGCCTCTGCGGTGGCCTCTATCGCGGCTGTCCAGGGTGTTGTCTGCACTGCGTGAGCGGCTGTGCCCCTTCTGAGGCGAGCGGTGGCGGCTTCGGTGCCGATGGCCATCTTTTTCCTTGTCTTCCTTCTTCTTAAACAGCTTAGGCCCATTCCTCCCTGTGGACTTCTTTGCCTTGGATTTGCTGGGAGAGGGTTGACGGTGATGAGAACGATGGTGCCTGCCAGTACCATGTTTGCCAGTACCATGTTTGCCAGTGCCATGGTTGCCAGTGCCATTGGTGCGGCGGCTCGGCTCCGTCTTGCTCCGGGAATGTGGTGGGATTACTGGTGGGACGCTGGACTCTGATGGTGCATTAGTTAGGGGCAAGGAACTCATTTCCGGAGTGTTTTGTATCCCTGTGACTGCGTCGACGACGCTGATGTCGTTGGGGCTGCCGTCTGCAACACAGTTTGACACACAGTTGAGGCAAGAATGACCAAACATGGATCTACACGCCAAGCGACTCTACAGACTTTTGACACTGATCATGCTGATCCACTCAAACATAAAGCTGAGAACAAATCCAATGAAAGCCAATCTGATGTTAAGCAAATGTTAGATGGCACAGCAGCAGCCAATGACGGTGGTGAGATAAATAAAAAAAAGCCGTTGTGGAAAAGCAGCCACTGAATCCAAAAGATTTGTTACCAACGACAAACCTGCTCCTTGGCCTACGGAGGGTCTCGTCTCTGAAGTGGAAGGGGTGTCAGCTCTTCGGGTTGTTACGTCTTAGTTGCTATTGAACCCACTCACTTGTATTGATTACTCCTACGGTTTCATACACTGCAACAGTTCCCAGGAAATTTATATCCTCAAAGTCAATGAATGCACATCTAAAACCTATAAACTAGGAAAAGGCTCAAGGGCTTGGTTTATCAAAAATTCACAATATTCACAGTCTCATTGTCTCAAGGTTCATTTTAAGCTTGAACACCAGCAGACAGAAGTGATATTATTGTTTTAACTATTGAGTTTAGTTCATTAACAAATGGAGATCGAGGGTTTGTGCTTCTATTTGAGTCGAAATTGAACTAAAAAGTCATTTCAGTATTTTTATAGTCTCAGCTACGAATGGACAAATTTTAATTGTTATGGTGACAACCATAAACTTTAAATGTTTGCAAAAGCCATCAACAAAGTACTGAGACTGTGACTTTTACTATTGTTCCCACTACTGTTTAATGAGAGCAGCAATAAATATAATTAAGCGTATACTTAAATGGGAAATGCATATTAAATCAGTTTTGTTTGGCATTAAATTAATAGGTTTGCTTTTTAATGTCTGTGAGGCTTTGACTGGAGTAACATGAAGCTATAGGTATACATACGATCACCAAAAAAAAAAAGATTACAATGTATTCCTAAATACTTTTCATTCATCTTTAAAACATTTGAACTGGGGAATATTGCACTGAACATTAAAAGTTGAATTTCAATGTTTCTTTTCAGCCTCGGTCCTGTCTTGGAAAAATACCCGACATTAACCGAAGCGTCTACTTGAAACATAAAAATGCCTTAACTCGGTGAGAAGCTAAATATGGATCTTTGAAGCAATTTTTGTATTTTGTTTAACCTTCTATTTATTTAGTTATTTTTGGAAAAAAACAGACACTAAAATCTATAAACCAACACAGTGGTTATTTACTGGCCGAAGAGTAAATCTTTGTTTTATAGCAGGGCAAGCGAACACATCTATATTTTTCTTTTAGTTTCTCCAATCAGACATTATCACAGCCGCCGTCCTCCATATATGTTTCTTCCCTTTTCTCCTGCTTTTCTTTGTAATATTTTTTTTTGCTATTGAGCCCAGACCAGAAAGCAGCCAGCAGTTTTTGTGTATATATAATCTATCGGCAGTCTAACTCTCCCTTTCTCTAACACATAAATCAGACAAATATATACGACTGCAGCAAAAACTGAGCATAAGGAGTTGGAATCTTCCGCAGTCCACACACATAAGAGAGCCTTTCTAGGATAAAAAAAAAAAAAACCTACTAAAGATAAAGAAACTCTTTTACAAACGTATGCATGGGCTCCTTCAGACGAGAGCTGCGCAGCGGCATTTAGGCGAACGGTTGTAGATGCATGGGGCAGAGCGCGGGCATGAGGTGATCTGAGGCCACAGCACACACACATCAGGATGAAGAGAGACAGAAGAGAACCCAGATGACAGAGGAGAAGGACAGCTACAAACCGTGGTCTGATTTTGGAGGACAGAGGCCTCCCCCATCTTGTCATTTCTCACACTTGCGGTGAGATGGGGAGCGGCCATCCCTGAAGGAAGACAAGAGCCCAGGGCAACACACAGAGAGGAGAGCATACACAAAAACAGAACAAAACAAAGAACACAGAAGTTTAGATTGCTTGGAGCCAACTGGAAAGAAAGACAAGGGAGAGTTACTGATTGTGTTGATTCTTATTGGAAAAAAGAGTGTTTATTTGATCATTCAGATTAAAGAGACAGTCCAGGAAGTTGCCCAAACCCTTCAGTGAAAGCCACTAGTTACACAGAACAGTGACGCCCCACCCCCCAATCACCCACACACACACACACACGCAAACACACACTTATACATGTTGACAAAGCAGCAGCAGCAGAAAAAAGAAGAAAAAAAAGTCTGAGAAATCAAAAAGAAGAGACACTGGCAAGACTGTCAAAGAGGTCGTGTCAACTTAAAAAATAGAAAATTAAAAAAAAATACAAACGATGATCAAAAATATACAAAGTTCACATGACACCATGTCGGTGCAGATCTGAAAACCGCAAATAAACTTCCACAAGCAAATGCTTCTCCACTCAAAGAAAAAAAACAAAGAAAAGAAAGCAAGACAATGAAAAATGTTCATGACTTGACTATCAATCCAAACTTGTCAATACAATAACAATACAAAAAGAAATGTTCCATAAATATTATGGAAAAATCGACAATATAGGGGGCAAAAACTTCAAATGTACACTCTTGACAAGTTCATGCAGTAATAAACTTTTCTTTTTTTTTTTCTCCATTTATATGTGGCTTTGATTCATGGCTCTGTACAATGAACAAAAATACTCGTAAAAATGTCTCTATTCATTTCATCGCTGTACAAAAGCTTTATATAAGCGCCAGGTCTCATTTTCTGTTTGCATGGGGGGACGTGTGGCGTTGGGCGTTTTTAATCTTCACAGCATTTTAATGACATCAACGTCGACAATGGGTGCAACAGAAAACAAAAAACATAAATCCATGGATGAATGAGTGATGTCGAGCACACTGTAGCAGAAGTTTGGCTTGGAGACAGAAAATGAAAGAGTACAAAAGGCATCTCGATAAATGAGATCATCATCAAAGCGTGAATTTATTTTAGTAACTAAATACAAAAAGTCAAACTGGGTTTAACGATGATTCATTACAGACAGTCCGATACATTTCAAGTGTTTGTTTCTATAAACTCTGATGAATATGGCAAACAGCTGGCAGAACTCCTACATTTAGTTCCTCAGACAAATAGACTGATGTTTTCTTAAGCCACTGACGACCAAGACTTTAATTTTGCTTTGGGATTAGGAAGAACTTTCAAATAGGACTGAGCTGAGAAAACAGCAGAGTTGTCTTAACTGGGCAAAGGAGGAAAAGGGGACTGCAGTGCATAGGCCCAAATCCTCAGTTCAGAAAAAAATATCTCAGTTTTTTGGAGCTTCAAAGTTTTCACAGTCGGTTATGTTTCAGAGAGACTTGCTGTTTGTTAACGCTGGTCCCCCGGGACGTCTTAGAACTTTTGCTGCTTCTCATTTTCAGCAAACGCTTTATATACATTTCCCAGCAAGACCTGGCAACTGACCCACGCAGCAAAAAGCACCAATACCTGCCTTAATGATCATGGTATCACTGGACAACGAACACGATAGAGAATCAATGGTGTTTAGGTCCGGAAGAGAGTGAGACACATACATCACTTGAAATATATAGCTTTGAGTGTAATGAATCCATATAGGTTTCAATTTCCAACTTAATCACTGAAATAACGCTTTAATGCTAATTCAGTTCATTGGATGTTCTTGTATTAGGCTGCCTCTTCTTTTCTCTCTTTTTTTTAACACAGTTCTCACTTAAAACCTTAAGGAGTTCAGTAGCTTACATTCACCTCCAATAAATATCATAAATATGTTTGTGTCACAATGAGGCCAAAGCTGTGTTACGTCCCACCTTTTCTAGGAAAGCAAAGAGTCAAGTTTTTTTCCTTTTTAATGCTGAACTGGTGTTTAACAATGAGCTAAAGCAACATATGTCACTTCTCCCTAAAAAAAAAAAAAACAAAAACAAAACTTGTTTTTCTACTCTGGGAAAAAAAAAACCCTGTAAACAGTTTTTTAAATATATATGTTGTACTGAAATTAGGCCCACCACCATTCTGTAAAGTCCCGACAGAGTGCTTTAGCTGAGCGGCCAGAAGGTGAAAAGTGACAGCGGGAGGACATGGAAACTGAGAGCAGCCGACAGCAGGAGGGGCCAACGACACCCGAAGGAGCATTCTCTAAGCTCCGCCCCCAACGCCCAGAATCCAAAAGCACAGGAGTGACCTTCACCACGAAAGACTTTAAAGCCAAGCAAACCCTCCTTCCCTTCCCTGGTGTGTCAACGCCAGGAAGGGGCGAAGGGGTCCCCGATGTGCAATTCAGTTCTTTGCCACCTTCAAACCCCGCCACCGTCCGAGCTCAGGGTGTGAAGATGGGGGAGAAGGGAATGTTTTCGTAGATTGACCCACCATATTCAGGCACGGAGCCGTCGCCCCTCTTGAGCACCAGATGGACGCGTCGGCCTCCGTTCTTGATGAGCTCGATGGCCCGCGCGTGCTTCATGCCTTTGGTGCTCTCGCCGTTGATCTCCAGGATTTCATCTCCGACCTGCAGGGAGAGGCGCAAGGCCACAAGGTTGGGTGTGAGGGGAGAGGAAACAGAAAAAAATAAGAGGCAGAGTGACAGGTGAGGTGGGGAGGAGGCAGAAAAAAAAAAACAAAAAAACAAGAGGAAACCGCAGCGGGGAAAACAAATGGCAGGACGGAAGGACGAAGACGTGACGCGGTAAGATACGGCGAGACGTGACGTCGGGGGAAAAACAGAAGGGAAGGTTGGACGGGTTGACAAGAAATTACAGTTTAAAATCTGATTGATAAAGATGCACTGAAGCAGCTTTCCTGCTTTTCCTCAACCGTTTTGCAGAGAGCAAATCAGAGAGCAGCGACTGTGACGCTGAGAGAGACAGACGGGAGGGAAAACAGGAAGAAGGAAGAAACACTTTTGGCTTCCTTGAATCCCCTCCTCAGGTTAAGCTGTCAGAGCCGTCTCCACCAGGGGAATACTGCTTTGGCAGGGAGTAGATCTCTGTCTGACACGTCTCTGCCTCATAGAGTTGCTGCTGCTGCTATTAATAATTCCTCTAAATAACCTGAACTCGTGAAAGCTGTAGGCTTCAGACATGAATGTACAAATCATCAGATTACACCAACTGACTTTCCTAACTAATGACTTCTTCCAAGGTGTCTCGAATGCAAACGCATTGGGAGAGCATTAGAAAGACGTGTGCATATTTTCCTAAAATGCAGGGGTAATCTGATTAATAACTGATTATTAACTGATTAATAAGTGGATTGTAAAATTTAAACAGTAAATTTTTGTACACAATTTGAACCAGGTGAAGCTAAAACTTGAGGAGTTTTGGGTAGAACATATTTACAAAGGTTTTTGAAATTATTAGATTTTTTTTTCGAACTTACATGCAAAATGCGAATTTTCTTTTGACAGTCTTGGCTTAGTTACTGCTCTAAATGTGTTGCTCTTTCAGCCAATTGCCTTTTTGTGAATTCATATACTTCAGTAAATGATCAATTGTTGCGGCCCTAAACTAAATGCCAACTTATAAAAATACCTTTGTAGGTTAAAACAGCAACCACTAAATCTGATAAATGATGTTGTTATAACTGTAAAAATCAAAGACGATATAGTATTTCATCAGCAGAAAAATTAACCGTAGCCTTTCTTATTCTAGGTAAAAGTCATGGTAAATATTTAAATCATAGCATTTTTAATCAAGGTAATTCAACCATGAATTCACATCCCTTCACACGTTCAGTGAATCATTTGCTTCAATGAGCCACTAGGTGACCGTTTATATTTACTGAAGCACAGTTGGCAGTAATTGTGGGATATCTCCCACAGTGTCAGTCCTTACGATGGATAGCATTAGGCTGATGACTGCAGCGTCTCAGAGGCAGACTAAAGAATCAGCTGTTTTCGACGGCACCTTAACAAAGCAGCTTAATCGTATGCGACGGATAAAACTCTCAACGCAATCAGAGATGATCTGCTGAAAAACTGGAAAAAAGGAGAAGGAAAAAAACAAAACCAGCACGTCTAATCGGATTATATAAACAGAGATGCTATCATCAGGTTTAATTAAATATCCTCCATTCTTTCTATTAAATAAGCCGTTTAGATCACTACATCACTGTCACACAGAAAGGAAACAAATTTCCTCAGCTTTCTCCTCCAGAGACGCTTTTAAGACAATTAAATTGAAACTCTGAGCTGTGGCAGAATTGAGGGGAGGTAAGAGCCAGGAAGAAAACACGCAGACCTGCAGAGGAACTGTGGAGCTCACAAAAACTCTCCGGGGAACTCGTGTTGCGGTTTCACACCCAAACGTGTTTCAGGTCTGCTCCAGTTAAAGTGAAACGCTGCCATCGCTGCAGCACAGCCGAATGCAACCCGTTAATTACAAAGTGAAGTTATCAGGTACGCGATCTCATTTTTACAGTTCATCAGTAACGGGATCCATTTATCGCCTGCTTGTTCGGTGGGAGACGAGCCCGAGCATCGGCGGGCGTCTCAGCTGTCCTCAAGAAAAGGGGACTCACGTTTCAGAAGACGACTTCACAATTCATAGGAGACACAACTCAGACGTAGCTTGTAGGAGGAGGGAGAAAAGCGGTAAAACTTTAAATACCCTCTATCTTTAATCTTTAATGTAAATTGTGGTCATCACAGGGACAAACAAACAAAAAAAAGGAACTGTGCCAACCTCCTGTCGCCAAGCATTTCTACTTTGTGGATCTTTGCAAACTTTAATTTAAATGTGTAGATCTGGGGCTTGTGTGGTTTAGGTGTGCGTACCCTCATTTTCCCGTTGCGGACTGCGGCTCCCTCCTCGGCGAGCCTCAGCACGTACAGGTCCATGTTGTACTCTCTTCCTCCCCGCAGGCTGAAGCCAAAGCCTTTGCTGTCTCTTTCCAGGTCCACCGAGTAGAACTCAGAGTCCTGGATGGAGGCACACACACACGCGCGCACACACACACACACACACAAAAAAACCAGACAGACGCACAGAGACAAATGTGTTAGCATCAAGGTCATATGTGCGATTCGATTAAAGTGTGCGGTTTTTGTGCGCCCTTTAAAGCCGTCTCTAATTTCAGGAGCAGGAGGACAAATGCCACCTCCAGGAAAGGCACACTCGCATCGCGTGCGTGCGTTTCCATGTGTGTGTATGCATATGGTCAGGTGTAAGGATGCTGAATTATTGATGCTTTAGGCTCTAGGCAATAGAGAGACAGACTGGGCAGCACAAGGACAGGCAGACAGTCTCTGCAGCTTTGTCTCCATGCCCTCCTAATCTCCTCTGCAGAGGGATCAATGTTATCTAGGAGAGCCATCTCCACAACACCAGATTAATTCAGCAGCGAACACAATGGACTGAGGAGGTACTTTGAAAGTAAACAGGCTTTCCTTAATGCACGGACTCTGGCTGACGGCAGCCGGCGATTGCAAGGAGATAAATAAATAAAAATGTACACCGTTCGTCCTTGGGAAAGTGTGTGTGTGTGTGAGCTGAAGAGTGGCGCTTGGATGCGTGTTCTGGATGGCCTAACAGCTTGAATAGATGGGTGAGGAGACAACGGGGAAGTGGTTAGAAGTGGTGAGTGCTTGATGGAGACATGGAATGGATGAATGGACAGATGAATGACTGGTGTGTGTTTTTTACTTACCTGAGTTGAGTCTGGCTGGATGGGGGGCTGCAGAGGAGCGTTTGGAGGGTTATTAAACTCATAAGTTTCCTGTTTTGGTTTGGTGTTGGTCCTTAAAAAAAAAAAAAAACTTCTTTAAATTAAAGAATTTAATGACAGAGGACTTTTGACAAACTATGTATGTTTTAGAAATCTTTTTTTTTAACATGATAGTCCGGTAAGCTCAGTCAATTGAGGACCAAAGTGGTGACACTTGCTACATTTTCAGCTGGGGCACTTCGCTTTCACACTGCACCGTGTAAAACGATCCAAATCAAATCCTGTTCCCAATGTCGACTGTGGTGATGCTGCACCAAGAACGACTGAAGGAAACAACATAAAAATCTCAGAAGAAAACGCGAATGCAACTTTGTTAGACTCTTACATTTGTTTTGGTCATATTTACCCAGAATGCCCTGCGCTATCTTTGGCTTCCTGCTTTTAGAGCACCCTTTGACACATTCAAACTGCACCAGAGTTCACTTCAACCGGATTGAGACTTGAGTTTTAGGCAGACCAGAGTTCGATTGGCACATTCACGTCTCCCCCAAATGAATCGGACTTTCTAGGCAAACGAACTGCAAATTGAGTAAAGCGGACTAAACAGAGCTGACCGTTAAGAGCTTCTCCGATCAATTCAAAGTTTATTTCAAAGAGTGCTGCTCACCTGGCCTCAGGTGCTGCCTGTTGCTGAGGTGTGTGAGTGGTGGTTATGGTGGCAATCTTCTCAGCGTTTGTCAACAAAGATGCATTTGATGACTCTGTGGGGGAAAAAAGACAGAAAGATGAATGACATTACCATTCGTTAAATAGCACACGGACAAGGAGGCAATGGTGCCACCACACCAGATAAACAAGAAAATAAAGATAAAAAAAATCTATGTGAAATACTCAGGGTTTCTTGAAATGTTTACTTTTCAAAGTTCATGTTTTTGTTTTTTCACATTACCAGAATCATGACTTGAAATGAACTGAAATGCTTCTGCAAAAAAAAGAGCTTGCAGAAGCCATTTCTGTTGAGGAAAGGCTTTAAATATAAAGCCTGAGTGGATGGATGGAAACTCTTTGAATTATGAGTTACAACAACATTTAATTTCCCTTTGGGATAAATAAAGCATTTTGGAATTGAATTTCAATCGAATTGGTTCCTTGGTGTCTCAGCCGTCTCTGCTTCACATGACTGCGCTGCCTCCTCAGCTTCCCACCAAGCCTGCATGCAAACTCTAGATTTCCTAAGACTCCCCTCTCTCTCTCTTCAGGGAACATAAAACCTTCTACATACGTTTGCTTTTTCCTGATTTAGCATAAATCCATAATTTACGGTATTTGCATAATAACCGAGGCCTATCCGGTGTTCCAGGAGACTGTGATGGATTAAATCAATTTTTCACACTGGAAACATTTTCTTTTCTTTTTTTCCCCCAGATTTGCACACTCGTGGCCATTCAGCAGCTGTCAGCTTCAAAACATTAGCTGACCCACAGAAAGCCCTGCGGCTCCACCTCCGGCTTCCTTGAACACTCAAAAAACATCCGGGAGACAAGCATAAGGCAGCAAGTTTGGGCCGTCGATCATTTTGTCAAAGCACACGTCACTTTTCATTTCCACATGAAAGGCGCGCATCTCGTTTTGGGCCGGAACCGATGGCCTGACACAAAAGCTCCTGGTTATTTTCCAGGATCTCTGCAGTGACGGAGTCAGATTTTGGTTTTATTACAAAGCAACAAAAACGTTACTGCTGCATTTAGAAAGCTTTATTTTCTTTCTATATATTTTTTTCTTAACCTTTTTGTTACCCGATGAGTTTGCACACATTAGCAATCAGACAGAAGATTGGGCAGGATGAGTTTCGGTTTCCAGACTGGATGTCGGCTTTTACAGCTTTATAATTGTCCTCATAAAAATCTAGTCAACCCTCCATCTGCTCATTTGCAGAACATGCACCATAACGCTTCACAATCTTTCTATTTATCTCTCCCCCTCCTAAATGCTTCCTGTTATTCTTTTCTATCTGCTGGGGAAACACTACCGTTAATTACCTTTAATGCACAGAAGAGTTGAATCGTTTCTTTCATTTGCCTCTCAGTCGATCAGAATGCCCTTCTGACCCGAATTAAAATGAAAAACGGTGCAACAAACAAACATTTACTCTTTTACCACAACACATCGCACTACAACCACAAAGTTCATAATATTTATTTTAAAAAAATACAAAGTAGTTGCAACATTGGGCAGCACGGAGTTCAATGCTTGGATGAAAACTTAAGAGTCAGCCAGGGACTTAAAACTAAAAGGTTGAACACATAGCCAGTGCTGCAATATTCAATTGTTAGAATGGTCTAGTCAAAGTATAGACCTAAATCCAATCATGAATGTGTATCTCAGACTAAGCTGGAGGGATTTTGCACAGTAGGTAAAAATATTGTCCCAGACTGGAAACATGTTTCTACAAAGTTTTGACTCAGGCCAATTGAATGGAAGTACTGGACACACGTTTCAGCTTTGTCACAATTGTTATAATGGTTAAAGAGGCGTTAAAATGCCTTTTATCTTACAAACTGTGCAATAAAATGTTACTTAAAAACAATCTGCTTTCTGCTGCACACTGCCATGCATTAACATCTCCATTTCCAACTTCTGCCGCAAAGCTTCAGAGCAACATCTATCGCAAAACTCCATCCCCACGTTCACTTTGGAGCAACGAGAACAGAACCATGCGAGAAGCTCTTCCTGTCGCACTCGCGTCGTAAACGTTATGGATCCACACGGAGACACGCAACCGTTCGAAAACAGCAGCGGAGGAAATTCGCGCTTAGAAGCAGACTTCTATAAAGAGAACCTGCAGTCTTCCCCTAACAACTGTCTCCATGTCAGACAGCGTCTGGTTGACACACGCTCACAAACGCAAACAGGAAGTTTCATGTCAAGCACATCTGGTTATTTCTCCCCAGTGTTTTCTCCAAAGCTCTGTTTGCCAGAGCGGTTTTGTCTCGCTGTTCTCGTAAGCTGCTCTGGACGAAAACAGAAGACGGCGAATACCCTCTTCATTCATGAAGTGAGCTGGAAGTCAGCGATGCGGACAAGTAGCTCAAATCTCCACCGGTGAGCGGATTGATGGGGAGCATCGCCTTCCTCAAGCTCCCACAAACTATTAACTGGCATTTATGAGGAAGGCGTTGTGATTCTGAAGCGAGGAACAACACGAAAGCTTTTTAATTTAGAGTCGAAACGACCGATTCGACACACTTGCGTACACAGAAGGAAGTTCCAGATCGTTCTCTGCTTCTCTCTTGCACACAAACAAACAAAGAGACAACTAAATTACTCTTGCATGCTCTGAAAGCAGGGGGCATGCCAAAGGCAAAAACGCAACGGCTGGGAAGATTCCCAAATAACCCCAAAGAGGCTGTTCTGTCTACACTGCGGGGGCGCTTCGCTCGCTTGAAAAAGCAAGAGAAACTTCAGCGCCATATCACACAGGGATAACGTTGCAACTCCTCAAAGTGTAGATTAAGAAAAGAGCAGCTTCTCAAATCTAATATGACATTAAAAGTTTTAATAAGATCTCATTTATGAGTTGGTAAACTTGTAATAAAGCTAAAAAAAAAAGGCGAAATCTGTGCTCTGCTTGGTTTGACCGACTAAATCATTACACCTTTTATCAGGTGTACAAAAATATCTAGTTTCAACTGTAAATACTGCTTTTCAAATTTAGGCTTTTAATAAAACATTCAGTTGCACAAATTGGTGAGGCCTCAAGGGGTGTAAATAAATATCAAGCTTTTACCAAACCTTCTAAACCTCTCATTGAAATTTGAGCATTTTCTTGATCATTCATCCTAAAATAATTCATACAAACCCTGGATAATCAACACCTCTTGGAAGAGAACCTTTTAGCACCGCATTTTTGACAAACGATAAAGCCACTTCAAGATGTCTAACGCGAGCATGATGTGCGGAAAAACGAACCATAGCCGCTGCCGTCCACTCACCATCTCCGGGAATGATTCGCAGCGTGACGGTGTTCCCGGCCTCCTTGATGAGGTTGACGATGTCAGAGTGGGACTTGTTGGTGATGGAGTTCCCGTTCACGGCCAGGATGCGGTCGCCGACCTTCAACTTCCCACAGCGGTCCGCCGGGCTCCCCTCGATGATGCGGCCTATTTTGTGAGGCATGGCCACACATGCATTTCCAGCTTTGGTCAACCATTGACATGTTGGGATATTCAACGTTGAGTGTGTGTGTGTGTGTGGTGTTTAGAGAGATGGGAAAAGAAGGGAAAAGGGGGGAAAGGAGCAGAAAAAAGAGGATCAACAGAGTAGAGGGTTAATTTACCAGCAGCCCCAAAGCAAGCAAAGCCAAAGTCACTGAGAGAAGAAGAGAGGATCATCCCGTCAGGATTATATGCAAAGAACAGTAATCTGTCCTATGAAGAAATCAGAATGTACCTAAATAGTGCTTTTGATCAGAAGTATTTCTTAAAATATAATCCAGAGTTAAGTTTTCCAGATTTAAGACTGCATTTATCTAATTCAATGTTTTGTCCAACATGTGATGTTGGCTCATTTAAATTTGGGTTTAACATCAGGGAGTTTTAAGTACTAAAAGCTCCAAAAATGAAAAATAAAGCCCATTTTATCACCTGAGGAGCAGCATTCCATGGCAGACATAAGACCATCTAACGGTGTATTTGTCGTCATCTCATCTTCAGAAAGAAGATGTGCAGCTCTTTGTCATATTTCAATTGATATGAGATTACTAAATATTTTCCTTCCATACACTTTTATTGTCCTGTTAACTTGAGATAAGTAAATATCTCAAGTTGTCATTGAGAGTTTCAACATCCTTTTATCTTGTGATTGTTTTAAATCATCACATTGTGATCGACATGTTGAATTCTGGAGATCGAGGTTAACAGATTTAATTTAGTCCAGAAATAAAGACAATCATGCTGCCAGCTGGCTGAACCTCCATCATAAAAGAAGCACCAATTGAACAGTTTTCCTTTTAAACATCTCTGATTATTGATCAACAAGTCAAATACTGAAAAGTCAAGACTTTTTTATTTTTCTGCTATTTATTAAATAATTTTTTTTAGCAATTTAATATTAGAAAGTTAAACTTGTACAGTATTAGACATTAAATGGGACAAGATCCTGGACAAAAAAACAAACAAACATCTCCTTGGCATTTTTAGCTGGAAAAATGCTAAAGAAAGTTTTTGTAAGGTTGTGTAGGAACCCTCAAACTCAGGAAAACTGTATCCAGTGCACTCTTGAATAGTCTCCCTTGATTATACCTTGTGTAATGCCGCTAATCTAAGTATATTTCAGATATTTCCATGTCAGCAGCAGGTATGGAAACAGTTCTGATTTGTTACATCCCAGGTAGCTGCACCTGCAGGATGTTAGAGACGACAAACATACATCAGAGCTGACATCTCCCCATCCACCCTGAGGTGTTTTCTTCCTCTTTGTCCGCAGACGGTAGAATGCGATCAATCTCATCTTCCTTTTCATTACTATTCATTCTACCTGTGCAACACACTTACTGCTTTTATTCTGCTACAAACATGTCTAAGTGCCCACCCCTAGCTGTCCGTTAAACAAATCCAGTCAGATTTATGCTGTAAAATATTAAGTGCAAAAGGAGAGAGAAGGAAATGCCTCGTGTGAATTTTACATGTTAAGTCGGAGCGAATAAAGCTCAACTGCTGGTTCGTGCTTTCCACCGTGCTCCTGCGAAGGAGAAATTTGCGGCTTTGTGAGCAAACCTGTGATGCTAAGTTTTAGTCCATCCATGCCAACAGAGACAGGGAGCGCAGAGGGCAGAGGGATGACAGAGCAGTTCAGAGCCTTGAACCTTTCTTTCCACATGGACGAGCGCATTTGGGCACAGAACTGTGAGGTGGAAGAACAGTAATGCATGGTTTTCAAAATGTTTCACAAATAAATATTTGAAGTGGTGGGCAACTTTAGCCCCCCGTTAGTCCAGAGTTTGCAGGAACCACAGTTTGATGCAGGTAAACTCGGAGGCCTTCTGCTCTCCACCAGCTCTGCATGGATACGGACCAGAACTTATGCCAAATATAAACCTTAATTAGATTAGGTGCAGACTTTGACAAAGCCAGTCGAATACATGAACATTGTCAAAACTGCATCTTTCAATTTTAGCTCTGGGCGTATGTACAGGTTAGTTCTGTTGGAACATTGACCCATTATCTAACCCATTTTCAAGTCTTTCCAGCCTCTCGACATGCTTCCCTTCCAGGATTGCCCTGTAGACAACTCTAACTATTTGCAACTGTTGGAAATACCGTTCTAGTAGAAATATATATTCTTAGAAGTTTTAGTCCATCCCCTCTTCTCTCTCTGATTATTTCCTGTCTGATTACTGTCAATTAAGGGCAATAGCACCACAAGAAAAACAATACAAAAATTCCCCTTGCATAATTCTGCCATCACCTTGGTCTGCTCGTGGCAACCTAAGGCTTGCATTTAGGTTGCCATGAACTGGAAGGATGTTAGAGACGACAAACATACACAGTGTTTGTTTAACACTGTTGAGCAAACGCAGGTGGATTTGCTAATTAGGTCAATTTTGTGGCATTGGTGTGAAGAAACAATTTTAATAAATTGTTCCAATACTTTGTGCTGGTCTATCCGATAAAATGCTATGAAAATACAGTGAATTATGTGGTTGCATGTTGAAACGTGTTATAGTTCAAAAGAGTGCGAGTCGCATAGATTGAATAGGCAAAAGCAGTTAGAGAAAAGAGTTCAATGCTTAGAAAGAAGCACCACTAATTTATGAAAAGCAAAAAAAAAAAAGGACTGAAAAATGTCACGACTAAAACAAAAAAAAAATCAAAGAAATGCAATATTTATTAGCAATTAAGCAATTCAATATTGTCTAAAAACTGATTCAAGGGTGTGAAAAAGCTAAATATCAGTAAAGTCTCATTGATTCATCTATTTACCCTTTGGAGAACCACATCCTCTTTAAGCTGTCATTTGGCTTTTAGTGCCAACCTGCTCGGCTGAAGCAATTTAAGTGGAGCTAAATAATACAGACGTCTTACGTAAGACCCACTTCACTTGTGATCAATTATGAAAGCTTTGTGGGAGTGTAGCAGCAGCTGCAAGGGGAAGAAAGGGTTTCAGTGTCTTGGTTTGACAGGCTGGAGAGGAAATGAGGCAAAAAAAAAAAAGAAAAAAAAAAGATGTGCTTCTTTGAAGGCTGTTGATACTGATCTGGTGTGACTGTAAATAACCAGAATCTGTGCTTGCTGTCAGGCTATTTAGCGCTCAGTGGTTCTCAAAGGAGTTCCACAAAGGAGACAAAAACAGATGAAAGAACCCAAAGGTAAGAAGAAAAAAAATGCCTTGTGTGTGTTTTAGTAAAATCTGCATGTAACTTAATAACCTGCAAATATTCTCCAAGTTCATTAAGTGCAGCGTCCCTTACCGAAGGTGGTGCCCGCTTCAGGCCGCGACACTGACGACACGATGACGAAACCGAAGCCTTCGTTCTCGCCCCGTCGGATCTCCACGTCGTAGGGCTGCACGGCGGAAGCGGCGACGGGGGCCGAGTTCGTGGTGCCGTTTGGGGGCTGAGAGGACGTGGTTGCAGCTGCAGCGGCGACCACAGCGTTCCCCCCGATCCCGGCGCCACCTCCGCCTCCTCCTCCTCCTCCTCCGCTGCCGATGCCAGAGGTGGAGCCGCTGCCGGAGCTGACGGTGTTGAGGGAGTTCTGGCTGCCCTGCGGCGTGCGCTTGCCCATATCCTCCGTCAGGCTGGGCGCCTGGGTGCTGCTGTGGTGCGAGGACGCTGGCGACGGAGGGACATCTCCCTCTGATTTAACTGCGTGAGACAGAAGCGCAGGGTGAGGAAGAGGTTACAGAGGAAGCAGAAGGAGAGAGATTTTATAAAAAGAAATAAAGAAGAACAAACAGGAAGGTGGATAAGAGACAGAGGGCTGAGCCAGCCTCAAAACATCAAGAGGAACATCAAAGGCACCTGGTGAGAGTTGTGCCAGTCTTTGCTTTTAAAGAGAATTGGGAGGCATTGAGATGCCGACACACAATGAGACGATGACACAAGTAAATCTTACGTCATCGATAAACCGAGGTGGATCGTAATTAGCTACATTTACTCAGTTACAGTCACTTGAGTAACTTAAAATAATATATAAAAATAAAAAAAATGAGTAGCTAAACCATTTTCATACTTTTACTTCAGTAATAAGATTATGAAGTATTGCCACTCTTACTTGAGTAAACCTTCTGGATACTCTACCTACTGTGAGTAACTTTAAGGAAGAACAAATATGTTTTAGCCCAAATCTACACCAGCTGGAAACACAAACCTGTAGTTTATGTTGAAGTGAGACTTCTTGCTTTTGCACAAGATTTGCTTCAAGGTTTTTCTTTTTTTTTTTTTTTTTTTTGATCTGCTGAGCCTTTTGTGCCATTTGGAGGTCAAGTGAATACAGTAAATGCCACATATTTTCACTGGAAGTACTTTACCTTTCACTGTTTCTGTGCATTTTTTGTATTTCAGCCTTTAAAATACATGAAATTGAACATGATATAAAAATGTTCTCCATCCGAAGAAAGTCAACACTCGAGCAGCCCTGATATGAAATACTTTTTTTTTACTCTTACTTGTATAAATTTTTTGAATGACTACGTTTTACTTTTACTTAAGAATATTTCGAAGTGCTACTCGTACTTGTGCCATTTTGTATACGCTACCCACCTACTCTCTAGTAGGTTTAATAAAAGTACTTTCTTTCTTCTTAATGCTGGCTTACGTCGGAGGACGACCTCCTTCAGTACTCTGTTGTGAACAAAAGCTAAACCAAGGACGTGGCCTGCCTGCACAATCTCCACATTTCATTTCATTTCACATTTCATTTCCTGTTCGGCAGCTCAGGGAAGACGCCTCATGCCTCCGAGGCGGACGGGGAACAAGCAATGGACTGATGTCTGGGCTGCCGTCATCGGGCCAAAGGTCGAGCATCCTCTCTATCATGTAAAGGCCCATAAAGAAACGGGCCGTTTCTTTATGGGCCTGCTGAGGAGCGGGACGTCGGAGGGCAATTTTGAGCACCGACACATCAGAGACGGGGCGAAATGTTTATTTGAAGCAGAGGCCGATTGCTTCCAGCTCCACAGACTAAAGAGGAGGAAGGAAAAAGGTTGTGCACATACAGTAGTAAGGGAGGCCCCAGTCTCCCTTTGGAGCTGTGATAAATATGGATACAAATTGTGCTATAAGTAATGGCTCATGTAGTGCAAAGTAACAAGGAGATCTTAGTTTCTGAACAGCATCAAAGCTTGATACACAAGCTTCTATTGGAAAGAAATGCTTAAAAAGTTATGGCAGTGAAGTCTTAAAGACATTTAGGGTAAGGATCGAAAAGTAAGAAGTCATTGGCATTAAAGTAAACTTTAATGCCAATTTAAGTGGCATTAAAGTGGGACGTCTCCTAATATGCCGACAGCATCAGGAGGATATTGTCACTATTTTAATAACTAGACAAAAACAACAAAAAATTATCTGGCTGTTGTGTGCCTTGATTTTTGATTAATAGTATCCACTGAGCAGGAGAGAAATGCCAAAAAGGTGCTTCTCCTAATCAATACTTTAAACATTATTAAACAATGAATTGCACCTTGACAACAGAGAGTCATTTTATTTCACTAGTATTTACTACAAAAAAACTGCAGATATAAAGTTTCCGCATAGCTAAAAAAAAAAACAAATATTTTTCTATCCTTTTAAGAACGAAGCCCTAAAATTGATTAAGACTGAAATAAAGATAAAGTAAAACAGCCATCTTTTCAGTCAGGACTGCATCTCCAAAGGGGCAAAAAATCAGTTCCCATTAAACCCCCTGTATTAAATATGATCAAGGAGGCAGCAACATTTCCACGTAACATAAATATGCATTGTATTCATTAACCATATGTATTATTTATGAGTTTGTCTGGTTTATATTTCATTTATTAAACTGTTAGCACTGTCTTTGTAGTTAAGTGCGCTTGAAGCAGGCAGAGTTAAAATTGATGGGCTAAGCTCCCCTGTTGTACACAGCACACACAATACACTCACAGAAAGCAAATGGCTCAGGTCAATTAACCAAATACAGAGATCAATTAATTACTACATTTGCCAAAGCTTGTGATCATTTTGTGGCAATCTTATGTACAAATAATTAATCATGCAATATAATTATGAGCATAATTGAATCTTTCTAACAAACTGTTGGTTATCAAAATGTGTGTAAAAAAGATTTTAAACAAGATTGAAAATGTTTTGTTTTGCAGATTGATCTTCAGATATAATTATTGACAAAAACATATTCTAACCTATAGGCAATACTGTGGGAGAGATTTTAAAGTCAAAAATTGAGAAGAAAAACAAATGTGTGAGCGATGCGTACAGTCTTGCTTTCTTGATAGGATAGTTAACTTATCAATGATCAGTTTTGACAAAGTATGTACAGAATATGTACATACTTTTGGCACATAGGTGCCAAATATCAATAAAGCTCGGCTTTTTACAAACCCTTGCTAATGTTCAGACATAACTGGAGGCAAAACCTTTTTCAGTGGGCGAGAAAAAGTTAAAAGTCAACTTCCAGAGGTGAAACAGGACTAGAGGATCACAATGAGAGTTTGAAAAACATTCGAATGGAGAATTTTATGGAAAGTAGATTGTAGTGCTCGGCCTCCTCATCTCTCCTCACCTGCGTAGTTGGTTTTGCGTCGCACAGTGAGATTAACGTGGCCCTGCTTGGCAGCCTGCTGCATTAGCTGCACCACCAATTGATGCGACTTGCCCACCACCGCTGTGCCGTCCACGCATATCAGCTCATCTCCGGATCGGAGGCGCCCGTCCTCATCCGCGGCGCCGTACTTCACTATGTGGCCGATGTAGATCTGGAAGACACGCGAACGCAAATAAACAGAGTCCAACCAGGAAACAGAGGACGTATCCAACACATTCGTCCTGTGCTCTTTGCATATTATGCAACAATGCAAACCTAGCTATTGTGTTTTCACTCTTCGACTTGCAAAAGTGTGCAGTAATTCAACCCAGGACTAACAATAAATTAGGTTTTTCTTTAGGGGAGAAGGAGGAACAACACAACAGTGTGGGGCAGTGAACCAAAGCAAACAAAAACTTGCCTACAAAGAAGTGAAGGAATAAAAAAAATAAATAACCGTGCAGCTTCTCACTCAGATGCTGAGGATAAAACCATTTTTTTTTTTTTTTGTTCATGTTACTGAAACACCCAAGTTGGATTTCTCACAAATATACAGCTAAATAGCTTTAACGGGAGAGGAATGGAAGTAGGTTCAATTCGTGAGAGATTCAGGGACTTTTTGAGACACTCACCGGTTCTCCTGGCTCGTTGCCTCCGAGGATCCTGAAGCCGAAGCCCGTGTCCTTTCTCCACAGGAAAATGTCCTGCTCCTGGAAGTCTGGAACTGTGAAATCAACGAAAAAACCATCAGTCATCCCTGGGACTTTTTCTTTTTTTCATAGTTCCTTCACCCGTGCAAAAAACCCCATCCATGATGAGTTTGAGGGAGGACATTAAGCTTGATTCAGTCCAATTTTCTTGCAGTCAACATTGGGATCATAAAAAGACCTGCTGACAGGATGTTGATGATTCTCTTAGTCATTTTAGGCTTTGATATGAAAAGTGTCATATGGTGCAAACACAGGAGGAGTAAACAACTGGTGCATCAACGGTGAGAGCATTTATTTTTGGTCCAAAGCAAAAGTAAAAAAACAGTTTTATTTGTGTGTGACAAACTATATAACTGGGTCTCTTCTTTGATGTCTGAAATAGTAAACTTTTTTATTTTTAACTTGTAAAAAAATATATATACTCATATCTGTTGGAGAACAATGTTTCTTTATGAAAAATGTGCTGCATTTGCATTTTCACTGCCCTCCAGTAAACTTGGGACATATAAAGGTTGTTTTTTTTTTTTTAAGAAGTGAATGTGTTCACTTTCTTTATTGAAGTCCAAATATAAACTTAAAAGGCTGACACTCCTTTGAAAAAAAAAAGAAGAAAAGAAATCATTCCTCTCTAAATTCTTCACAATACAGACAAGCAGCATCTTTTCCACAAGCACAGCCTTCAATGAGTGCATTGGGATTTTATGTGATAGAGAACAATCATCGTGAAGTGGAAAGTTAATGGTTTTGCGGATAAAAATCTGAAAAATGTGGTGCACGTGTATATTCAATGCCGTCCCTCAATCAATATTTGTGGAAGAACATTTTGCTGAAAGTGCAGCTGCATTACTTTCTCCTGCAGAAGTGTCCAAACCTTTTGCCAAATTAAAAGTAGTTCAAGGGAGACAATGACATTTTTATTTTGGTTTTTTTTTATTTTATCTGGATGTCTCACTTTGGTCATTCGTGTTCGACCTCTGCATGGTTTAGACCAGGCTGAGCCCTTCACTTGTGTTCATGACACTTAAGCACATCATAGTGAAAGGAGGTTGTGGTGAGGGGGCGGGGAGTAAAAAGCAATGGATTCTCACTTTTCTAATTTTGTTTTTTCAATCTCTATCATTTTCTTTCCAATAAACAGTTTTGCCGCCTCGTCTAATAAGTACATTGAACATTAGGGTTATAATATGAAGAAATGTGTAAAAACATGCTCAAGGGGTAGGAATATTTTTTGAAAGACACTGCAAATAGTAATGCACAAACTTGAGCTAGTATTTGTACAGTCGCAGCTGTGTATCTCTCAACAAAACCCCAGAGAGAGCTCAATTTTGCTTCCGCGCAGGCCGCTGCTGCCAAAACCGCCAAAGCCGCAAAGCGACGGCGGTGCGGTGTGAATCGCAAGAAGCCCGTTTCCAATCTGTTCTTTCAGTCAACATTTCAAATCCATGCAGAGTGAAGCTCGTCCTTCCAGTCTACTCTGATGTTTTTTTGTATCTTTTCTGTAGAGTATCGGAGCGAGTCAAAGGCTAAATGTTGCTATCTGCCCGTGGCGATTAATGGATCCATAAGCGATCCCTGTGGTGAGGCAACTGGGCATAAGAGGGCGTTTCAAAAATAGACACACAGAGCCAAAGCAACGGTACGCTTGGTTCAAACATGAAGAAAATTAATCTGGGAACATTTTAAAACCCAGAGATAATCAAAACGGAGCCCAATAAAACATGAAGCCTCCAACCTTTTCTGGCCCAGCTAATTTGAAGCAGGTCATCGATGTGCGGATCAGTTTTTTGGGAGGATTATTTGTGCAAATGGAAATCATTCAGCACCTGATGCGTGGAAAGACCTTGATCTCAGCAGAGCGTGTCATTACATTGAAAGCGAAAGTAGAGAAATTTCTTTGCCCACGGAGCCAACACTGAAGGATTTCTGAAACAGGAGGAGGAGGGAGACGATTCACGCCTCCTGACACGGGTCACTTGTCCTCTCTAATTCCAGGTGTTCCTCCTGACCTTTCTGTGTGTCACAATCCCATTTCATCTTCTTGGCTGTTCTCCCTCGGATTCACTTACAACTAAATGGAAACCTTTCTTTACTGATTCTGAAATCATTTTACTTTATTTTCTCTGTTTATCATGAGCTAACCAAGTCAGGCAGTTTGAAAAAAGACAAAAATAAAAGAACCCTGCGAGGAATTAATCAAATTAGAATCGTCTTATAGCAATCTTTTCTATCTCAGCTCTTGAATCTTTATTTTTTTTCCCACTCAGTCTCACTTTTCTCTTTTCCTTTTTGCACAAGCGATTGTTCTCAGTCCTCTAAATAATGAAACATCCCTGACAGGAGATGTTTGGCCATCTGGTGAGATGTTACCACTTATGAGCTCTCACACTCCTAGGTTTTTCCTCAGTCTCTCTCTTTTTCTATTTCACAATTTGACAGTTGATCTGAGAGCTATTCTTATTAATTGGAGGCATCTACTAGCACGGTAACTGGAAACAAAGAAGGGTTGGGCACTCCACTGACAACCACTCCACCATTGCCGCTAATTACGTACTTCGTGGCTCTTATGGGAAGGGAAGTATGTCAGTTGTGTTAATGCTGAGAAATGAACAAAGGCGGCATCATTAGTCCACGCTGAGAAAAGAACCAAAAACATGTGCGAAACCTTTGATTTTTAGGAGACTATCTGCACTCGCCTGGTAACATTGGTTCACCATGATGCTAAGCAGTTTATGACCAAATTAGCTGAACTAATAATGACACAAGTGCAGCAGCATCACAGTAGTAAGACAACATTTACACATGTTGGAGACAACCAAATGTAAGACTAATTTTTGAAATCAACCAGAATCAAACGTCCTCTGTCTTTCACAAACCCTGCACCCCAAAAAGGCAACCTCAAACTCATGACGAAGGGTGGCACAGAAATGTTACAGCTAACTTAGCTTAGCACAGAGAGAGCGAGGGGAGTTAATTGTGGACTATCAAACATAAACAAAATGTTATATATTTTTAAGAGGAAACCTTATATATTTTTTGTTTAAAGTAACCAAAACTTGAATACTCATATAGATAAAAGCCAAAGTAACTGTGTAACCTCGCTTTCAATGTTAGCTAAGTTAGGCTGATTGGCAGCTTTGGGTTCAGTTTCCAGCACCTGAAAACAAGCAAGAGGATACTTTTTGCTGCGTTTCATTTGCCTCTGAAGTCTAAATGTGAATATTGGATTTATGTCACAACAAAGCTGTGAGTCAGAAAGCCAGTGGGATTTGCTAATTATTGAGGTACTAACTGGGGTTGACTCTTTGCCAAATGATCCCTTTGGAGTTTCAGGAATTTATTTTGTGATTTTTGGCGACTTCAAAGCAATATTGCCTGACACAGGACTTTCTGTACCAACCATAGATCAATTTGTATCTTGCTTCAAAATCTTCCAAGGCAGTCATTGGCAAATAAGATTTCAAGTATTTTGCTATAGGAAATGTGGCTATTGCACTTTCTGTTCATTTAATAAGATACAGGCAGCCAGAAGAGTAAATAAACAAAGAACTTCTAGATCTTTGAATGGTTTTTACTTTTAAAACTCAGACTCTTTGGAGACATCGTGGTTTCCAAGTTGTACATCCCACTTCTTGTACTTGCAGTTCTAACTAAAAGTTTGGAAAAACAGACTTCAGAGTACAAATGGAGCACAACATTAGGTTGCACATAGTACTACTTCCAGTAAAGAGGCTGGAACCAGCTACTTAAATACAGGCTTTGCCTCCCAAACCTTTCAACTCCCATTGCAGATACACCAGGGGTGGACGCCCCATGCAGCCCTCATCCAACCGCCACCAAAAATTCATATACTTACGCCTACTTTCATACATGCTCCTGGACTGGGCCCAGATCTTAAAGGGGTCGGGTTTTCTGTGAGTGGTCCCGTCTCCTTGGGAGTCCTGGGAAGGCAGGCCAGGCAAGGGCTGCGAGGGGGCTGGGGGAGTGCTGCTCTCGCTGAGGGGGGCTGCCAGAGACGAGTGCACGGGCGAGTCCGTGTGGGTGCTCCGGTGGCTGGAAACACTATGCTGGGAACTGCTCTGACTGTCCTTCCTTGACAATTGCTGTAGGGGAAGTAGATCAATATCATTTGAGTCTTTAAAATAGGCTTTAATGGAGCATGGAAGATTAAACTCAGAGTTGACATATAAGGGTTATTGCATTCTCTGCCGCAGATAAGAGAGCCATCAGAGCTGCGGCTGGTGAGAGGAGATGATGAAGACACAAATACAAAAGAGTTTCATATTAGGGCAGCTAAAAGACCAACAATTGCTTCTCCTCGGGGTAAAAGGAAGCATGCTCTGTGTTTCTACCTTAATCAACTAACAGAATAATCAAGCTGCTTTATTCAGAGAAATTCCGTTGCCTTGCGTGAGTACTTAGACAAAAAAATAAATAAATCTCTGTGGTTTCTCATGATTAAGTCATTCAGCTGAGATAAAAACACGGTGGATCAGTTTAGAAGGGCCACATTGCCTATTCCTTTAGTCTAGCAGAGGGGGGAGTTTTAACAAAGAGCTGCATTCCCTGCTGCATATGGAGAAAAGAAATCACAGTGAATAAAAGCACTTTTGGGTTTGAAACAAAGACTTTTTACTGGTGAAGTCATAAATTGCACCCGGCCTCGCAATTACATGGGTGCTTAAGCACTTGCCCACGGATTTGAGGTGTCGGAATAAAGCACATGCACTTCTGAGCTCAAGTGCAAGCTGACAGCCTTTACAGAGTATGTATTTTTTTTTTTTTTTACAGTCTCATCTTTATCCTTAGCGTGCAGAATTCACCCTGCTGTGAGGATTTTGAACAGAAAGCAGCAAAATGAAAGAGTTACAGCCGGGGCACGAGGGAAAGAGGCAGCAGGAGGAAAAAATGACAGCAGTTAAGACTCCTCACGTCACGTGAGTGCATATTACTTTGGATACGGTGGACAAAAATACAGCGAGGAGGGGCTGGAGGCGAGGGGGCTCGTCAGTTCTCAACTATCAAAGTGTTTGGCCTTCAAAGTGCAGCCATGTCTTCAATAAATTCTGACTCATTACTCACTGAATCTGCCTCCCACACCTCTGCAATTCATGTTTATATTCATCATGCTAGTTAAACATAAAAGAAGCTTGATGCTCTTGAAAATACTAAGCGGGAGCTGCAACTCGACGGGTTCAATGATAAACTTGAAAATCAATATAGTCAGTTAATGACAATGCCATTGTTTGGGGTTGCCAACAAACTTTAAGATCCGATGCGTTCACAAAGTTATCTTCTCTTCACTTTTATCTTTCCAAATAAATGGAACCTGCTTTAGCCAGCGAGGAACCAGTATTTGATGCACCTGAAGTCCAAACTTGGCTGCTTTTACAGATGAAAACAAATCTCTTGTCCTTGGTGGATCTGCTGGCTTTGACCTTCCACAGCCACAGAGCTCTCCCTTAATGTACTGAGATGTACTAATGCATTGGTTTGTCCAGCTCCAGCAACTTTTAAAAGATAAACAAAATCAGGCAGACAGAAGACAAAAGACAGAAAATAAATCTCGGTTTCTGCCTAAGAAATAGAGATTGTCTCTGTCAAATACTGGATCTTGTACCGTAGGAATTGGCCAGGTACCAAGGAATGTCGACATCGCCATGCTCCCCCTCCTCCACCTCTTGCTACTGCTGGTCAGCTGGCTGACAGAAGGCTCTTACACTTTTTCATTGTTTAATGAAACCTGTTTGGCTGTTAGGAAATACGGACTTTTTTTTTAAAGTTGCATTTAAGACTTTTTAATACCTTTTAAATAATGTTTAACATTGCTTAAGTTTGAAGACCAACATGATTAAAAAAATTATTTTGCTTATCTTAACCACCCTGTTGTCTTAGCGTGACACTCAGGAGGAGCACGGCAAATGTCACGGTTGGACAGCGGGAACTTGGGTTCACAAGGGTTTTTATTGCATAGTTTTGGGAACTGATGGTCTGACAGGACCACCTCTATCACTTCCTAGCTGTCTGACTGTGACTTTTGCCACACTCCTCCTGAACGTTGTGCTAAGACTTTGGGACGGTTAGTAAATTTATAACAGTTGAATAAATGGTGTCAGGTGTATCTTTGCAAAAGCTACATATTACCATACAGCCACCAGGGGGGAGTATGGTACCGACTTTGACCAATAATTTTACATATTTCATAAATGTCAACAGGTCCAAAATGGGCTCAGAGATAAAATAAATACAAGCAGTGTGTAATAAAAAAATATTTAGATGACTGAATTAAGTAACGCACTAAATGCAGGGCATACAAAACAAGGGGTAAGAATTGTTTAAGAGGTAAATTAATCCAGATCCTAATTGAATGTGCAAACAACAGATGAATATCAGACATTTTGTTTTCATGTAATTATAATAAAAAATGCATTTTCTCAATCCATTTTAGACATGGGATAGATATTTGAAGAAATAACTAATTTTGTTAAAGAGGAAGAGGTCTCAAACACAAAATTGCTGCGTTAGAATGTAAATTAAAATGAATGAGCTTTTTAAATTTAACTGCAAAGGCCTGTCTGTAAACCAGCTGACTTCAGGTTGTACCTGAGCAGACAGCCTGACTAACCAGCTAATGTCTTCTTCCTGCTTGTATAACTCCATGAAATCCAAAATGACAGAAAGGTTTATTCTGTAAACTAAGCAGATGGAAACATCAACTACATTTAACAATTTCTTTTGTTCTGCTGGTTCTCCTAAGAGTGTGTGCTACATTTAAACATGACATTAATGTAGCATGCCTTTTCCCAAAACCATTTCCTTCAACCAGACAACCACCACCATGATATACCCAGCACCGACACCTCATTCCCCAAAAAACTTTCATCCCCTTCCAAATGACATCACATACCATCCTAGCGTAATCTCTGTATGGAGGAGACAGGTCATAATAATCCTGCAAAACAAACAAAAATAAATAAACAAACATGCATCCAGTCAGAAAAGGTTGCGGGGGTCTCTCAGTCCTGATCACACATTCTGCTCTCGCGCTACAAACTTAGCACCCAGCATGATGCCATAATCAGCATGTTAGCAACCCAGCTTACGCGGCGCATCAAAGCCCCTGGTCCCAAGCTCCACTGGAGGAGGATGGAAGGTTTGAGAGGGGAGGGGGGACTCATGTAAAGCCATAGGGATCCACCCCGCAAAAACATAGCACCCCCATGTCTACAAACAGAGCAACAACATCAGCACAAGTTCAAGCACACAGGATGGGGCTGTGGGAGGCTGGGATGAGGTAGCTGCACATCGAGGACACAGGTAGATGGTGGAAAATTTGTGGGAATGCCATCACTTACCAGTTTGGGGCTCTTCTTCGCAGGTGCCACTCCTGTGAAGCCGGACAGAGAAGAGAAAAAGACAAAGGGAGACGGTTACCAATGGAGTTTGTAGTCCATGTTCAGACAAAAAGTAAAAGAAGGGTGAGGGGGGAAAAAAATCATTTCACAACGCAGACTCCCCAACAATGCCAAAGCAGAGCACATCTAGCCCTCAACCCCCTTTATCTCATCTCTTTCCCTGCTGGGTGCCTTTGCTTGTCCATCCGCGGCTGGCGTTCGAGGAGGGGAGGGAGTGAGGCGGATGACGGGAGGGGATGAGGAGTGGGGGGTCTAGGCAGCGCGATCTATCTGCATCACCGCCGCGTCCAGCATTTGGCTTGACTGGTGCAGCGAAACAGCGGGACCGGCCCCAAGGGCTTATCCAGCCCGGCGCTCGCTAGACCCCGGCTACGCGCACAAGAAAGAGAGAGAGAGAAAGCGTGTGTATGCGTGTGTGTGTTCGAGGGGGAAAAAAAAAAAGTGTGAGCTAAGAGCGGAGAAGAGAACCGTTGGGTGAGCAAATGAAGCCGAGGACTAAAGAGAGAGGACTAAAAGAGGAGAAAAGCGAGCTTTGTTCGGGAGTTCCTGGCCCTAGGCATTACCCATGGAGAAGGAGTCCAAGATACTGAACATTAAATTATAGGCAACCGTCAGTTCCCCTCTTACTGAGACCATCTTCCTGTGTCCGCTGAGCGCCGCGCTCCGCTGTCGAAGGCTCCAGCATCTATAGGCAGTTGGCGCGTCCTCCAGGTCTCTCCCTTTCCCTGCTGGCTTTTCTTTTTTTTTCCTCTTCTTCTTCTTTTTTCCTCCCCACCCGTCCTCCCTCTCTCTCACCTCGCCGTTCACTGTCCTCCCTCCCGTTTTCTCCCTCAGCATCACCGCCCTCTCTCCCTCCCTCTTCCTCTTCCTCGCTCCATCTCAGCCTGCCTCCTTTCCCTCCCTCGCGCGCTGGTAAACATCTATTCAGCTGCGCGCGCGCGTACTCGCACGCGGATTCTCGCTGCATGCAGCAGTCCTGACACAAATCAAAGCGTGCTTGAGGTATGACAGACGTGTTTCTGCGTGAGCGAGCAGTAAACAGAGACGAATCGCAGCAGAAATATCGTTATCACAGACGGGCGGGCTCGGAAAATAAGACTGACAACGTTGCTCGGGATGCGAGCGCGCGGGGCCCGGCGTCCGCGGAGGGAAATTTTTGTCGCTGAAATATGACTGACCTCTCCACCTCCGCCGATTCCTCTCTACTTCGTTCATACACATCGCACGGGACAAAGACTATTCTTTTTTTTTTTTTAACTTAACAATAGGTGGACACCTGTAGCAAACAAACAGCCACGCGCAGCGTTTGAAAACGAGCACGAGGCGATTTCTTCCAGGGAAACGGGGCCACTATTGTGTGAATCCTTCGGGAGCCTGAGGGAACGCGACGGGTCGCACACAGGCTCTTCTCTACTTTATCTCCCAGACATCTGGGCTCATTCACAGCTGACACCTCCGACTGCGTAACGTCTGGAGCGCTTTTCTTCCCAGCCCTCCATACTTCAGTTTTCCCCTCCACTTTTCTCCCTCTTCCCCCCCCAACTTGTCAGGAGACATTTATTCTAGATTTTGAGACGATTTAACAGGAATTATGATCATGCCGTCAATCCAAAAGTGGCTTTTTGCTCTGGGAAAAGGATGCCAGTCAGTTAACATTAGAGATGCACATGTTTGACTTTTTCTGTGGTTTTCTTTAGAATTGGATGCGACAGTTCTGGAATTGTTACATTATGTTTATATTATATTAATTTATGTAGGCTATATGTACACACACTCACCGCCCTTGTGAATGTGCTTATGGAATGAAAATAGTGGGAGTTTTGGTGTTGATGCAATAAATACAATAAATGATGATCTGATTGTTTTTTGGGGGGGTTTTGTGCACTGAGTTGAGCCAATTGGGGGAGGATGATTGGCCAATTCTGATTTCTGGCAGATTTATTGGTCACCTATTGTAATAATAAGTAGAGATCAGGCTTTTCCTGGCCAATGTCATGTTTTCCTTTACATTTTCTAATTGTGTTTTTATAAGAATGCAAAAGATAGAGACCAGGTGTAGATCTGGGGCTCTTTTATGCAGTTTGATCAAGTTTTATTTGCGTTTGATGCAGTTCTTTGATCAAGTTTGCTTCTGAAGAATTGATCATTTTGTCTGCATGCCAGTAAAATTATATTTTTTTTATTGTGAATACCGGCTGATGTAGTCACTGAGGTCTGTCTTGAATACTTTTACCAAATAAATGTAACAAAATAGAAAAGAATGTGCAGCAGGTTTCACAGATAATTATTGCATTCATTGAGGAGCCCCATTATGTATCTAATCTTGACTAACTCTTTAAAAAGGACATCGAAACTTGACACTTTTGGTTTGTGTGTCCAGAATTAAAAGACGGTGATACTTCTTAGTTTTGAGACGGAAATGAATGAACAAAAAACACAGAAGGCTCAGAAACCCCAGAAAGCACAGATTACGGAAAAACTCCTCAAGCCCCGTTTCCGGTCTATCAGTGCATCTCTGGTCAGCATGATGCACTGATTGATTTTGCCTCATCATTCAGCTGCAGACAATGTTCAGAAAAAAAAATAGCTAGTTGTGGCAGGTAACAGAGATGTTAAAATTCTGAAAATAATTAACATTTCCAGCTAGTTATGGGCTTTTCAAATCCAGTGAAAGACAAAAACCCTTTTCCCAGCTTTAACATTTGGTCTTAAAATTGAAAGATGGACTCATAAATCACGGCAGAAATAACAAAAGGTGAACGGTACAAAGGTCAGCATTACATTTGCAGGCAGAGGCGGATCTGCTGGGTTTTGTGTGTCTGTAGGCGTAGAAGCAGAATGCGTTTGAAGCCCTCATATCAAAGGCATGGTGGATGTTTGGGCCAACCTCCGTACCCAATTACACACAAGAGGAAGGAAAGAGAGGTTTTAGACAGGTGGGCAAACTGGACAGCGCTTTGGCTGCCTGTGAGAGAGTGCTCAGCAAAATCCTCTAGGGTGAAAAAAAATTAAAATTAACTGGAGCTGCCAAGACACTAATTTTCATCTTTAGGCAAAGCTGTTACTAAACTAAGATTACTCAAAGAAGGCTTTTCTCAGAGATGCAAGATCTTTAACAGCAAACTATATTTTCTACAAAACATTGAGAAACAACTGAGGTTCACTCAGATTGCCAGAGCGTGGGAGAGAGCAACACTTTCAGCAGATAATGGGAAGGCTGAATGGAGTAGAGCAAATCTGCTCTTCTTTATCATTTGATTGAACATGACTGATTTGAAAATCTCAATGATTCAGTGGGACTACAACAAACTATTATAGTGATACTAACCACAAGAACCGATAATGCAGGATGATAAAAAAACTGTATAAAAATTCAATTCTTATTCCTTTTGTCATAGTTTTGAACAGGCGACTGTTCGCTCTCACGGTGTGGTCTTCACATAAATAAAGAAAAGTGAAAAAAAAAAATATGTTCTGAGAGCAGAACTTCATTAAGACATCCTGGAGGTCATAAATAATCCACAAAACCTCGATTGTTGTGTCTCCAAAAATAACATTTTGAATTAATTATACTCTATGTTCAAATGATTCCATGTAGTTTGACAGAAACGGCTCTGTACCATTTGAGAGAAATAACAAAAGGATTAGCTTTGCTCTGTTGAACTGGGCAAACTAACAAAAGGTGATGTACAGGAACTGTTGCACCAACCTGGCATCGCAGCAGTCTCTAAACGGAAGACATTACTAAGCAGATTATCCACTGCGCGCGTGTGCGCACGTACGCAGCGGTAGGTCTCGCCTCAGAGTGATGGCCTCCAACAGGCGGGCCCATCTGTCACCGTGGCGACAGTACCTGGTGGCTGTGGCGACTCGCAGACCGTTTCCCAAGCAACAGTTGTTGTAGCTGAATGGATAAGCAACAAGCTCTCGTCAGCTTGTTTAAAAACAGATCAATATATCTACGCAAGTATAGAGAAGAAATCATAAAGTTTGTTTTATGATATTTAGAACTTGTTTGGCTTGTAGCGGTTTCAAAAGAAGCAGGGTGAAGCCCCCACCCGCCTCCCTCCATCAAATCCACCCTGAGGGGAACCCAGAGACGACTGTCGGCAGAGCATCGTCATGGAAACAAAAAGATGGTGCAGAGGTAGAGATTTTCCACTCAGCCACTGGCTGTGGAGGACTGAGGGCAGGGTAGACTGGTGGAGGTGGGGAGAGGAAGCGGCTCACCATGTCCCCTCCGTGCAACAAGCAGCGTTTCACAGGATTGGGCCTCCAGCAAGCCAAACGTGACGAGAGGTGAATCATTGGCGCCCGAGCCAGAATCCCCCATTACCCAGCCCCCCCAGCTCAACCTCCCTGAGCCTCCCCCCCTCCCACACACATCCCACCTCATCATTGCTTTTCCGGACCGCAGTGCTGTTCGTTATGGTGCCATTGGAACGTTCAGTCAGCAGATTTTTTATGCGAACTGAGCAAAAAATACAACGCTTCCTTGCTGTACAGTGAATTGATTTCCTGCTTTGGTCTGTGCAGGGACCCATCATCAGCGTTTATCTTCTCTTAATGGCCATATTCAAACCTGTCCACATTAAATGGACCTTTAGAAATGCAACTGATAGTTTGTTTATGTGGGTTATGCAAGTTCGTGTATCGGCCCGCATTTTCAAAGTGCGTCACAGATCTATGGCGTGCTTTTTGACAGGAGGCACTTAAAAGCTGTTTGTTCACTTGCCCGCCATTATGCCAACAGGAGCTGTCAAGTGTAACAATAATCCACTTTCACATTTTCACCCTATCTGAGCTGTGTTTTCGTAAATAACAAAAAAAAGAGAACAAAGGCAATGCATTTCATCTGTCGTCCGTTTTCAAGGGTGCCTTAGACCTCTTTCTATCAGAACTTAACAAGGACAAATAAGATAGGGCAATGAAAACTGAAAATACACCATCTACTGCCACAGTGCAGTGTCAT